ATATTCGCTGCCTGTAGTAGTGTGGCCTACACTATGATTTATATGCGTGTTAGCTCTCATTGAGCTGGCACAAGTATATGTATATGAGCTGGGAATCACACTCCTAGTTAATAATGTAGACATAGCCTTTGTCCCAATGCATGGGATGAGATGTTGGCTGCTTTCAGACTTGTTTAACCTTTTTCTTTATTCTTCAAGCACTGTTAGTCAGTGTTCCAAGTGTCTTCAGAAGACACTGAAGTGTTCCCTTCTGAACAGTCATATGGTTAGAGAGAATAAAATGTATATTATCCACATAACATATTTGTTATGTGCATAAGCAAAAGTATTACATGTATATTTGCAAGTATTTGTGACTACTTACTTGCAAGTGGAAGTCTGAACTTGCTTCACAGTTCCATTTCTTTGTATTTTGCTTCCCCCAACCAGTTTGCTTTGTGAAACTTTATCTCACTTGTTTTTACTGATGTATTTACTGTCTTTATGGTTTCTCTGAATCTCAATATTACAGACTTCAATACAAACATAGCACTTGTCTCATCATGCATACCTGAGAGCGAAAACACATCCCTCATCAAGAAATTTTTCTAATCAATTTCAAGATGGTTTTAGAACTTTTAGTGGATAAGGAGAAACAAAGTTTTAGTTCATCATGGTGGTTTTATAGAATAATCCTTACTTTATTTTCATGTTTTTACAAAAGTCATATAGCACTGACTACCTAGAAAGTTCTTAACCAGTAAGGCATATTAGGGCAAATAGAAGTTAGAAGCAATATGTTAAACATACTTTCTCTAAACTCTTCTTGCTGATAGCTGGTAAGGAACAGTTTCTTAAACTTAATTCCTGATGCTGCCAATGGCTGCTTGTCTCGTATAAAAAAATGGTGACATCCAAGTATCATCTTTTGATATTTGATATTGTTATGGATTCTGAGTTAAAAGTGATTGAAGTTATTGGGTATCATAATTGCCTTTCCTTGAAAATAACTGAGAAGTTCATTTATGTAACCAGGTGGCTGAACCAATAGGAGTATAAAATCATAGGCACATGGAAAGGTTTAAGTAAAAGTTGAACCATGTAGCTCAACAGGTTTTCCTGGAGATTGATATAGCACATTTGGGGGCTAGGAAGTTGATGGAATTGGAATTGTTCCTCTGAGGGTGTCTGAGAGAAAGACAGCAGAAAAGGCAGAGAAGTTGTGAGAGAAGGCAGCAAATAAGCACCAGAATAAAAGGTGTTTGTAGCATGGCCCTGAGAAAAAGCTCAGAGAGATTTCGGGTTGAGTGCTGGCTGAAAGAGGCTTGGAGCAAAGAAACGTATCTCCTGTAGTTTGATTTTCATGGAAACATGACTTTGGACATTCTTTGTAAATAAACAGGACTACCTCTGACTCCATCATCAATTTTTCCTTCTACAAGTCCGTGGATAGAAATCGGTATCTGCAAATCCACAGAGATCTACTCCTGAGGACCTCATTGGTCAAACCAGAACATAATGCTGTTGCTCCCAGGAGCTAGCGTCTCACATCGGCAGTTCTTCCCAGCTGTGTGGCTGTATCACCCACCCCCATTTGTGTCTCCTGTGTGGAGTTGTACAGCCGTGATAGGGGTGGAACTGAGGGAAGCACAGCTGCATGGCCAGGAGGAGCTGCTGGCGCGGAAGGCTGACTCCTGGGGATGGTGACATCACGCTCTTCTGATTTGTCTGTTATGGTTTGTGGGAGTAGAGCTCTGCAGATCATGGATACCGATTTCTATTCCTAGATAGCTACATCCTTTGGTAGAAACCTGTATCCGCGCAGGTCTCTGTCTGCCTATAAGGGAGAATCTGCACTGCCTCAGATTTTGACTAGCTGTTTGGGTCCAAAGGGGGTAGCAATATCTAAGATTATTTATTATTTTTAATTCTAGTAATGCTCCAGGGGCCCAGTCAGAATGTGTGGCACCTCATAAAGTAGGATCTCAAACATACAGAGAAAGTCTTTGCCCCAAAATCTTTACAATCTGAATGTATGTAACAGATGATGCGGGGAAAGGGAACAAGAGGATAACTGTGTCAGGAACAGTGCTTACATAGATAAGCCAAAAGTTGAATTTTCAGGTTTTGAATTCTTTTTTAAAGTATATAAATAAGCAAGAGACATTTAATATCAATCACTTTTGTATACTAGTCACTTCTGTGAAATTTATGTCAATATGAATCTCTATCCCGATCCTTGCCAATTTCTCGTTCACTCAGGGCTGTCAGTGTTACGTTGTAAGTTCTTCAGGACAGCAGGATAGGGACTGTCTACTAGTCTGTGTTATGCATATGCCTCGTGCAGTAAAGCCCATTCTTGGTTGATATATTGGCACAACTGTAATAAACATGATTAATCATTAAGAATGTACCTTGGTTCCTTTTCTTAGAGAACTCATTTCCCTGGTACATGAATATTTATAGGAGATATCTTAATGCTGCAAAGAGGTCTTGCCTCTAAACATGTAAGACCCTTTCTCCTGCATAAGGTTTATCTGGAGGAGTAATCTAGATTAGTAATTCCTATTGACACATTTCCTTTTCCTATTTTGTCTATACTCTTCTTTGCTATGCTGTGATGCATCTGATATATTTTTCTGCATCAAGCCCACACCTTATGTCTATATTCAGCTCCCTTCTCACTAACTTCAGTGTCTTTCTGCCTACAGTTCCAGGAAGCCATCTTATTTTTCACCTTCAAACCCTCCCTTTCCAATTGCACAGCTGCCACTATTCATTTCTCACCTCTCCAAGATAGCCTCTTGCATATATTTGACTTCCTTCTGCTGCTGCTTAATTTTCCAATTATCCATTTCATTTAATGGGCAAAGACATTTTAGGGTGTCATTTATTTGAAAGGTCTCATTAGAAACTATGCACAGGTGCAATATCACCAATTATCCAAGTAGCTAATCAGGATGTGGGTTTGGGATTTTACTGCCAACAACCGTATGCTAATAGTTAAATCTCAAGTGGATGCTGTGATGTGATGCTGGAAGATAATAAAGTGATAGGTAACAGCCAGCATGGTTTTGTAAAGAACAAATCATGTCAAACCAATCTGAAAGCTTTCTTTGATAAGATAACAACTCTTGTGAATAAGGGAGAAGCAGTGGACATGGTATACCTAGACTTTAGTAAAGCTTTTGATACAGTCTTGCATAACCTTATCAATAAACAAGGGAAATACAACCTAGATAGGGCTACTGTAACATGGGAGCCTAGCCAGCTGGATAACCATTCTTAGAAAGTAGTTATTAATGGCTCACAGAGTTCTGAAGGGGGCTGTTTTTGGGCTGGTTCTGTTAATAAATGATTTAGATCAGTGTTCCCCAATGTGGTGCCTGCGGGCGCCATTTCTGTGCTCTCGCCGAGTGATCGCGGCCAGCCCTGCCCCTGCCCCCAGGCGTGCGGCACAGGGGCGGTGTCAGCCCTGGGCACGCAGCACATAGGCGGCTCCGCCCCCAGGCATGCGGCGTATGAGCGTCCCCACCCCTGGGAATGTGTCACAGGAGTGGTGCCGGACCCAGGTGCGCAGTGTATGGGCAGCTCCACTCTTGGACGTGCAGCCCAGGAGTGGCGCTGGCCCCCGGAGTGCGGCGCATGGGTGGCTCTGGCACTGGGCACGTGGCGTATGGGTGGCCCCACCCCCTGTGGGTGGCCCCACCCCCGGGCACCCGGCAGCCCCAAAAGGTTGGGGACCACTGATTTAGATGATGGCATAGAACATATGATTATTAAGTTTACAGATGATACCAAGATGGGAGTGGTTGTAAGTGCTTTGGAGGATAGAGTCAAAATTCAAAATGATCTGGACAAACTAGAGAAATGATCTGAAGTAAATAGGATGACGATTAATAGGGACAAATGCAACATACTCCACTTAGGAAGGAATAATCAGTTTCACACATACAGAATGGGAAATGATTGTCTAGGAAGGAGTACTACTGAAAGGGATTTAGGGGTCATAGTGGACGACAAGTTAAACATGAGTCAACAGTGTGATACTGTTCCAAAAAAAGCAAACATGATTCTGGAATGCATTAACAGGAGTGGTGTGAGCAAGACACGAGAAGTCAGTCTTCCGCTCTGCTCTGTGCTGATTAGGCCTCAATTGGAGTATTGTGTCTAGTTCTTGGCACCACATTTCAAGAAAGAGGTGGAGAAATTGGAGAAGGTCCAGAGAAGAGTAACAAAAATGAGTAAAGGCCTAGAAAACATGAGCTATGAGGACTGAAAGAACTGGACTTGTTTAGTTTGGAAAGGAGAAGACTGAGAGGGGACATGATAGTGGTTTTCAAGTATCTAAAAGGGTGTCACAAGGAAGAAGTGGGAAAATTGTTCTCCTTGGCCTCTGATGATAGGATAAGAAGCAATGGGCTTAAATTCCATCAAGAGAGGTTTAGGTTGCACATTAGGAAAAAGTCAGAGTGGTTAAACACTGGAATAAATTACCTAAGGGGGTTGTGGAATCTCCATCACTGGAGATATTTAAAAGCAGGTTAGACAGACACTTGTCAGGGATGATCTAGACAGTGCTTGGTCCTGCTGTGAGGGCAGGGTCCTGGACTTGATGATCTCTCGAGGTCCCTTCCAGTTCTACTATTCTATTATTCTATTATAATGTCCCTATAGCCTGTGATGCACAGTTAGCTATTGAGCTCTTTCAGTTTCTTGGTATGTTTGTGCTAATGATGACCCAGATAATAATGTTGTACTGGAGCAGACACATGGCATATCTAACACTTTACAGTCAGCCATGATCCTACAGCTCGGGGATTGCCAAAGATGCTATGTAAAATGTCAGAGGTAGGTGGGCCTTAATGTCTTAATCTGATTATTCCATAATGTCACTATTCTATAATCTGTAGTGCCTTTAGTCTACAATGCTTAATCCATCACTGATAATTGTACAGATAATATGGATATCACAACCGTATCTATCCAGACTTTCTAATCTTTCTAATTTTTCCTTTAAGGTAAATAATTACAGTTTAGAAGAAGTAACTCATGAAGAAGCAGTAGCGATTTTGAAGAATACATCAGATGTAGTTTATCTAAAAGTTGGAAAGCCCACCACCATTTACATGACTGACCCTTATGGCCCACCAGATATTACTCACTGTAAGTGACTCATTGAATGTCATTTTATATGTGATATTGTGTTTTAAGAGCTTATTTTGACTTTTCAAATCCAGACAAATCTCTCTACATCATTGAAGCTTATATAAGGGCTTGGGAGGCTGAAAAATTGGATTGCTAGGGTATGTCTACACTGGGGAGTTATTTCGAAATAACAAGGTGAGCATCCACACTACCCAGCCTGTTATTTTGAAACAATGGGCTTGTTATATTGAAATAATAACTCCTGCTTGTGACAAGAGTAAGCTTATTTCAAAATAGTTATTTCAGGAGTTATTTCAAAATAACCTGGTAGCGTAGACATAGCCTTAGTTAAATATATTAGGGTATGTCTACACTTGCACCCTATTTCGAAATAGGGATGCAAATTAAGACATTTGAAATTACAAATGAAAGCTGGGATTTAAATATCCCGTGCTTCATTTGCATATTTGCGTTATGGCGGTATTTCAAAATAGCGCTATTTCGAAATAAAACGCACTGTGTAGACGCATTATTTCGAGAGAATCTTTCGAAAATCCTTCCTCATAAAATGAGGCTTACAAGTTATTTCGAGAGAAGGATTTTCTCTTGAAATAATGTGTCTACACAGTGCATTTTATTTAGAAATAGCGCTATTTCAAAATAGTGCCATAACGTGAATATGCAAATGAAGCATGGGTTATTTAAATCCTGGCTTCATTTGCAATTTCGAATGTTTTCATTTGCATCCCTATTTCAAAATAGGATGCAAGTGTAGACATACCCTTACTGTCATCATGTGCTCAATATAGTATTGTTAGCTGGGCTTGTGCTGCAAAACATAACTAGATAACCATGACAGCAAACTTATTCCAACATCCTATTGTTGAACATTAAGCACTGTATCTCTTGTAACAATTAAGGTGAAATAATTTTTGTGGCAATACATTATCTTCAGAGCTCCTAGATTAGCAGATGTGAAAAGTGTAGACTTCAGTGTACAGGACAGACGCAACACAGGCAGCCAAAGATCTGACTATGTGCCAAGCAAAAAAACCTGAGGAAAACGACATGGTCTTTGCATGAAACAGGCTTATAATTTACACAATATTTGCTTACAGCATAAAATGATTCCTTGTTTGCTTACAGCATAAAATGATTCCATTCTAATGCCATCCCTGTTCCTACTCCATCTGCTCCCTCATTTATATCCATCCTCTGCTTCTCCATCTAACAAACAGTGCAGCGGTGCTTCCCCTTGCATCCTGTGCTTCCTTTCCTAATGTGCATGTAGTTCTCCTCTCCCCAGCACCTCAGCCTTTGGGATGGCACCTTGTCAGTGTCCTTTCTCCCAGCAGGCAAAACTCGTCTGTGCCACTGTTGTACATCTTGTTGACGTGCTGCTGATTTCCTCCTTTTGCCAATTAGTCAAGAAATGCTGCCTGCTTTAAGTCTTAAGTGAAGTAGTACATACTGTTCAGCAAGAAGAGAGTTGCTTAATCAATAGAGTACTGGAGTATGACTTAGGAGACTCAGTTTTCATTCCCAGCTGTGCTGCTGACCTGCTGGGTGACCTTAGGCATTTCACAGCACTGTACTGAGCCTCAGTTTCCCCTTCTGTAAATTAGGGATAATGATACTGACCTCCTTTGTAAAAATGCTTTTGACGGGTACTGATGAAAAAGTGCTATCTAAAAGCTAGACATTATTATTAATTATCAGCAATTTCAGATGGGCAAAAAGGCTGACAAGACTTTAGTAATTGGTGGATGTATACAAGTTTATTTGTCCTTTCATGAGACCTATATTCTCATAATGTCTTTTAGCAAGGAGTGGCCTTTCCCTATAGAAACGTTTGGTCTTTAAAATATTTAACATTATAGCATTTAATGAATGGATTAAACTTTCTAGTAATAATTTCAAACATATCTGTTTCAAAAGGAAATTAATCATAAGTTCATGCAAAAGCATGTCTGGTTTTCCTGGTTGTTATTTTCTTTCCTCTAATTACACAGACTAGGGATTTGGTTACAGTCATTATTACATATTTCTAGGCACCACCATTATACTGAGACCCTCCCAAAAATACAATCAAACAGCATTGTCCTATCTTTGTTAATCATTAGCATATATCATAGCTATATTAGCTTTCACTCTTCTTAACTCCGTTTACTGGGATCTAAATTATGATGCAGTCTAATTTGGCACTGTAAATTCAGGCTAGTGGGATTTGGGAATCTGATATTTCTAGAATCCTTGGAATAATCTGTGCCCTAATGTATAATATTCAGAAATCTACATTGTTTTCCCCTGATTTTTTTCTCTAAACTGGTGTTTTTTTACATTGCTGCTGGCACTCTAAAAATGATGTTATAAGGCAAGAGTGGGCAGCCCACGGTGCACATGTAGCCAGTGTAATCTGATTGCAGGGCCATGAGATATTTTGATGTTGACTGTCTGCAGGCACTACTCTCTGCAGCTCCCATTGGTCATGATTCTCCATTCTGCAGGCAAAATAGGGACATGCTGGCTGCCACTTCCCAGAGCTCCTGTTGTCCAGGAACAGAGAACCGTGACCACTGGGAGATGTGGGGATGGTGCCTGCAGATGGTCGATATCAGCAAAATGTCTCACAGCCCACAATCAGGTTTCCCTGAAAGGCTGCCTGTGGGCTTCAAGCTACCCACCACTGGTATAAGGCTTAATGCCCTTTTCAATTTAATTATTTCCTACAACTACTTACATTCCATTTTGCATTCATGAAATGCCTCCCTGCTTTCTGTCTCCCAGGCTATCCCCTTCTCATCCAAATCCCTCCTGAAGAACCTCTCATTTCTTAATCTTCATACAAAGTGAGTGGTAAGCAAAATCATAGCCATTCATT